TGCGCCCAGGGCGCACGGTGGGGAGTAACCGGCGCCCGCCGCCATGGAACCGGCCCCGTCGGCGGACACCGAGCTGCAGCCCCTGCTCCTCGCCACCGCTTCGGACGCCTTTCCCAGCGCCTTCCCCAGCGCTGGCGCCAATGCGTCGGGGCCGCCGAGCGGCCGCAGCGCCTCGTCCCTCGCCCTGGCCATCGCCATCACCACGCTGTACTCACTGGTGTGCGCCGTGGGGCTGCTGGGCAACGTGCTGGTCATGTACGGCATCGTCCGGTGAGTCCGCCGCCGGCTGGCCCGCGGGCTGCGCCCGGCTGAGGGTGGGAACTGCGCGCTTGGGACCCTGGCCTCGGACACCGGACTCCCCGGGTCTCCCTACTTTTCTGCGTGGGGAGCATGGGGCCCGGCGGTAAATCACTTCCACTGAGAGCAGGACGCTGACATTTGATTCTGTGTGTGTGTGTGTGTGTAACTAAATAAACATTTGCTCATCTGTTGGCATCCCCTTGCTCCTGCTTCAGGCTGTGTGGAACANCCTTGCTCCTGCTTCAGGCGGTGTGGAACAGTTTGGCGACAGTTTGTGTATCTGCCAGTTTGTGGGTGGGTGATTCTGTGTTTGTGACAGTACAAATGCACTGTACGTTTGGGCCTCTGAAACCCACCGGGGAGGGCAGAGATGTTTGAGGTGCTTGGGCCTCTGGGGAAACAGCCCTGGAGAGGCTGCCTGGGCAGGTGCGGGACAGGAGAGTGTGTGCGTGTCTGCACCCTGCTGATCACGTTTAGTGATCATCTGGTGAGGTTCCTGTGTTGGTGTGTGCCTGTCCCACACTGTCAGTTTGTGAATCTCTGTGTGAGAACGTGAAATGTGTTGTTCCTTGCCAAACTCCTGAAACCTCAGACGGAGGGGAGCATCCAGAGCGCCCTTGGACACTCGTGTTTGTGCACTTGTGCGTGCATTTGCCAACGGAGAGCCCATGGTTCCTGGATACAGTGGGCAACAGCGGTGGGCCAGTCAGTCAGCTCTTTGCTCCTGTCCCCAGTGGCCATCTGGTCAGGAGCTCTGGATGTGGTTTTGAGAGGCCTCAGATCCTCTTCACAAATGCCCTTCCCATTTTTCCCTCCTTTCCTCTAACAGTCTTTTTTTTTTCTGCTAAAGGCAGCAGTGGTTTCTTTGGGCCAGAGTTAGTGTTCTCACTTCAGAAGGTAAGGCTCTTCTTGGTATATGCGGGCCCCTCAGAGAGTCTGAAACATCATTGGCCTGCCCCAGCAGCAAACCCCCAACCCAGCTCTACAAGTTCAGACATGGGCGAAGGATTGAAAGGAAACTCCTGTTCTTGTAACAACAAAGATGTCCTGGTTTTTATCGTTAGTTGAAAATAGGTCCTCTGTGCTGGTTGGCCAAGGGCACGGCCCTAAATCACCAGGCAGGGGGAGAGGGAGATTGTGGACTCAGAAGCTGGAGATGAGAACTGTGGTCTCAGCCCAGTTACCGATGCCCATCAGAGCAGGGAAAGAACCCCTCCCCCTGCCCC